TCTTGGCACTTTTAATTTCAATTAATTTTTATTACAAAACTACCCTAAAAAAACAACTCACTTGCAAAATCAAATCTACACAAAACGAACATTATTTACGAGTTCAAATACCTGTTAAGGTATAAACAGATCTTATAAATAATTACATTGGTCACACTACTATATGCCTATCCTGACGACTTACACTATCTGACCACAACCCCATCAGAGACCACACAAACTTACCCGACTCCATCCGAAACATACATAATAAAGCCAACATTCAATAACACTTAATGTGCTCACTGTGTTCGGAAAATAAAACATCCCACTAACTCCACAACCCATACATCAACTTAAAATGTAAAAATATAGTCATCCTTGATAATGGCTAAATGTATAGCCGAAAGCGCTCGCAATTAAAGGACATTTGGTCGGTTTTTTAAAATTTTGTGTCCAGAAAATAAAACACTTGTTTGAACACGAGAAAATCAAATAAAAAGCTTAATCGCAGTACCTTGTCTGTCATATTTAATGAGACATGTATAATATATATATATATATATATATATATGAAGAAATTTTGAAAAAACAAACAAAAATCCTTAAATGTAGTTAAATGAAAGAAATGTCGACGTCTATATATATATAAATTGTGTATTTAGGCAGCAGTCACTCTTAAATATGTGTGTATGTGTGTGCGTGAAAAATAGTTTGAGGTCGGATTCCTTACACCAAAACAAGGACAAAAGTCCTTCTAAATCTATGACCTGAAATCAATCCTGTTATTAAGTTTAATGCAAGTTACGGTAGACTCTGTTAAATTTACAATCCAAAATATAATCCAACAATACATTTATAAATATTGGAACGGGTTCTATATAAACTTATGTCCAAAATGTCATCGTTGTACCTCAACACTGCAAGTTTTATCAAATGTTCAAAATGATCCTCGCTTGGTTCTACACCTGCACGCAGCCGTCTGATCATTGACTGCCTGACCCTTTCAAATACTCCCACACGGTGTTGAATCGTTTCTAAGGAGACCATGCCACATTGATGAACCCTCTCTGCATTATTAATGCATGAACCAATTGCTTTAAATAACACCATAGATAAAAATGCATTGGAATGATGTCGAGTGAATGAGGATCCCTCCGACATATGCATCTTTCATGTTCGATGTCAGCCAGTGCATCGCGAAAAACGTCATTATAATGTGCTCGAGACCTATCATATATGAACCACACGTGTCTTCGTATTAACAGGAGTGTATCCTCTAACAGGCCTGGAATTGTTTTCAGAATAAATTCCCTGTAGACAGCTGTATGATGTGCTGGGAGTCATATGGACCTACTAGACAGTCACCTACATTTCCAGCTCACACATCAATCGGAAAATGATGCTGGGGTCTAGCCTGTATTCTAGCATGGAGATTACGCTCAGCCCACAAATGTTGGTTGTGTAAATATGTTATTCTATATCTTCCAAATGTTGCCTCATTCGTAGGCAAAACAGAATGAGACGAACAACGGATCAGTAGTTTGTGCAATAAAAGATCGGTAAATGTTCTCCCGATGTGAGTTATCAGAGAGCGAATTATCCTGGACGCATTGCAAATGATACAGAAGTCGCACTTGAAGTAGCCTTCATCTGGTACTATGAGATGTATGATATGCTAGGGCCACTTGACGGGTACTGATACCTGAATCGTCTCCAACAGTCTGTAGAATATGTTCTTCGTGGTCAGGCGTACGAGCAGATTTCAGTCTTTTCACGATCCATAGTTTATGTTGCCACGGATCCTGTCTCAGCAATGCGACGATAAATAGCATACATTTTGTCTGACTCGGCTGCATTTGGTCTGGTAATGGACTACGATACAGCCCTGCAGCCTCGCTTCCATTACCATCTATACAGGAGCTCAACACAATGGCCACCACTGGGTGATGGCCGTTATAGCTCAAACCCTTGAGCATTTGTGCTTTTTGCGTCGTCCAGGGTTGACAAAGCAGGTCTACTTAGATACAGCACTTCTTTCCCCAAGGCGGAGAGGGGACGAAAAAAAGGAGCCCTAAAAATTTCACAATCTCATCTTGGCCGCCATTTGCAGCTGTCTGGTTATCTAGTACTGCAATCTGAACTTGAAGAAATTTAAAAAATTATACCTTGGTGCTTGAAATGTACGTAACACGCCAAGACTGACTCGGCAGCAGAACAAAAAACAGCATTAGTTTCTCTTGCACTGAAGAAGTACATCATTGACATCTCTCAATGAAATAAATCTTGCTATGTACTCACAATGAACGGCATTGTGCAAAGGAAAGATGACTTCTACAACAACCTTAATAATGTCATCTCCCATGTTCAATATAGGCATGAACTTATTCTAATATGAGTCGTCAATGCTCTGGTGGGTAACAATCACCAAGTCTGGGAATGTGTGCCGAAGTATCATGGTGTTGGACGCATTAACTCTAACGGCTGGCTCCTCCTTTCTATTTGCAGTAAATTAAATATTTTTATCAACAACACCTACTTTCATCGGTCGAACTGCGGCAGGATATTGTGGATGCCTCCTCGATCGAAAGATTGGCACTTTATTGACTATGTCATCACCAAGAAGAAAGACTTAAGGGACATCAGTATCACACATTCCTGCGGACATTCTGATCATGGTATCCTTCGCAGTAAGGTCCCCTTTCGGTTTGCTCATTGGAGACTACAGACGACAGTTGTGCCTAACCGGATAAATACCCTGATTTTAAAATAACCAGAAATACAAAGCTGGATACTGCTCTGAATGCCCTCATGTTTACTGATGATATCTAATCCTCTCGGAAAACAATTCGTCATACAGTGCATACTGCTTCTTTTGAGGTGATCGGACTGCCGGTTCGGAAATCCAAAACTGGTTTGAGGAAAGCAAGTCCAGTTACTCATAGACAAATGCACACCTCACACAAAGCATGGATTCATGACAAAAACTCTTCTCCATGAAGACTCAGTACATGAAGCGATCTCTCAGGAAAATGGGGAGTCTGTAAATGCTACAGAACTTCCAGGAGCAGTCGATAGGATGGGTTAAAATTCTTTGAGAGTATCTATGGTTGTAGAGAGAACAGTGTCAGGCCAGTATTCTCCTCAAATGGACAGACGCTTCTGTCAGACAAGTCTGATACTTTGCGCCGCTGGAAGAATTACTTCATGACTATTTTGAACACACTATCCATCACTGTTAAATACGTTGTTATAGTCATGTCCTAAAGTCCTGAAATAAAAGAAATGTCTTTCGAGCCAATCTTACAGGAATTCTTGGAATCCGAACAAGTTTCTTCAGTACCTGGAAAGGATACTATCCCGCTCGAAATCTCCAAGTATGATGGTAAAAAGTTAGTCCAAACACTACACAAACTTTTCAAATTAATATGGTGGGCGGGTCTTCTTTCTCATAGCTTAAAGGATGCCTTAATTCAACACCTATACAAGAACAGATGTAATAGAAATGATTATGACATCTATTGTGGAATATCTCTGCTGTCAATTGCTTGTAAAATATTAGCTAGACTGACTATGAACAGGATTATCAAGCACGTCGTCAATGAAATTTACCCTGAATCACATTGTGGTTTCAGGTCTAGTCGTGGCACTATAGATATGACCTACTCACTCCGTCATGTAGCCAAAAAACAGGAGTTTTATATGTTGTTTGTTGACCTTACTAATGCCTTCGACACTGTAAATCGTGAAGCACTCTGGAAAGTTCTTAAAAACATGGAATCCCACACAAGATGTTATAATCTTCTTTCTCCTGATTTATTTGATGTCACAAATGGCACGAAGCAAGGCTGTGTCATTGCCCCTGATCTCTTCTCTATTATTTTCAATAATGCTCAGATATGCCTTTGGTGACATGGAGACTGGTGTTAAATTTCAATTTTGAACGAGTAGTGGCCTTTTCAACCATCAGTAGTTCAAAGCTTAAACACTAATTCGAAATAGCGTCACTCGTACACTGCTGTTTGATGATGATGATGTTGCACTTGTTGCAACATCCCTGGAAGAAACGCAAGAACTCGTAAAGCGTTTCTCGGTCGCAGGCAAAGATTTTGACTTTACCATTAACATAAAGAAAAAGGACGTAATCAATCAGTCGCACCGTCGTCCAAAGCAGTTTTTATTGGTTCATCAATTCCACGACACTCCTATACAGATTTATAAGAAGAAGTCATTTACATATTTGGGAAGCAAGATGAGTACAAAAGCATCATTTGATGACAAAATAACACATCGGATCCCCAAAACTCCAAGTGCATTTGGGGAGATTTTATATTGTCTTTTGAAGGAAAAAGTTATCAAATTGGAAAGAATACGGGCTCATCGAGCAGAGGTTCTGGCCACACCCGTTGTGAGGATGAGAATGGTGACGACGAAAACTAATTAGGCTCAGTTATTTTCATTTTCTTAATTGCATCTCTTATGTCTTGGATCTCCATTTATTTAAAAAAAAAACTCCCATTTAGAATGTGAAAATATAAAAGAGATAAAGTTCTTTATCAGCTTTGTAAACAGCATTGATTACTATACGTGCGTGTTCGTATGTATGTGAATGTGTGCGCTGTCTTTTCGTCAATACAACTTAATCTGCTTCAACACTTAGAAAGCAAGACAACTTATTTCAATTGAGACATCCTTCGACCTCGATCAGAAAAAGCACTCAATAAGATAATCGAATCAGGAGGCTGGTCGGCACGTTGCGGTCATTTAGTTGCAATAGCCATTGAAAGTGGTTTATTTTTCTTTCGCTTTTATTCACGGGTCAGTGTCTATTTTTGTTGTTTTCCTTTTCCTTTCTTTCTCTTCTTTCTTTAATATTCTACTTGATCTTTCTTTATTTTCTCACTGTTTATATCTAAATTTTCCAGTTTCTTCTATTTCTATTTTCTTTCCTTTTCCTCCATATTCTTCTCTGCTTTCTTTCTTTCTTATTTTACCGGTTTAGTGATCCACTTATCGTTTAAATGTTTCTTTTTTATTTCTCTTTATATTTTCTTCCTTTCTTTCTCTTTTTATTTCTTTCTTCAGACACTCTTTACATTTGTTTAATTTCTTTTCCTCTTCGCCTTTATTTCTTTTGTTCTTTCTTCTTTTTTATTTATCTCTTTCGTCTTCAGTTTAACTGTTAAATATTTTCCTTATTTCATATATGGGCTTTTTTCTAATGATTTGTCTTTATTTCTTTGTTCAAAATTTCTTCCTTTTTGCCTTTTACTTCTCATTTTGTTTCTTTCTGTTTTGCTTCCTTTGTATTTTGCTTGTCGGTTTAAAGTTTGTTTTTTGTTTTATTTTTATTTTCAGAATATTTTGTTTATCTTTGCTCGTTTCTTACTGTCTTTTTTCTTTGCTTTCTTTCTTCGGAAATTTATTTTCCTTCTTGAATTGCTTTTCATATTTATTTTTCTCTTATATTTTTCTTTATTTTTTCACTTTTCGTCTTCCATTTTGTATTATTCTTTTAATATCTTTCTTCTATCATCCGGGCATTTTTCTTTCGTACTTTTTTACTTTAATTTCTTTTCATATTCCACTTTCGTTTTTTGTTGTGTCGGTTTAGTCTTTTGTTTGTCTGTTAACTGCTGTTCTCATTTCTTTTAATATTTTCTTTCTTAGTTTTCTTGTTTAATTTATTTTCATATTCCGGTCTCTTTCTTTTTTCCTTTTCCAGATATTTTTCCTTAGTTTAAATTTCTTATCACATTTATTTTTTATATATTTATTTTTTTTTTTTTGGCGGTGTCGTCTTCTGTTTATCTTTTAAATGCATTTCTCATTTTTATAATCTCTTTCTTTAAATCTTTCAGTTTTTTTCTTCCGTTCGTCTGTTAAACTTATATTTTGTATTTCATTATTATCTTTCTTTCTTGTCTAACTTTTGTATCCTTCTTTTCTTCCTTTTTTTTCTTTACTTTCTAATTATTCTTTATAATCTTTTTTTCTTGTGGCTAAGATTTATTGTTTTGCTTCAAGTCTATTTTTCCGATCCGTTTATTCAAATCCTTTTATTTTTCCATTCTTTATAACACTTTTTCGTGTTTCCTTCTTCCAGTCTCCAAAACTTTTAATGGAAACAATTCTTTCCTCTCTTCCCTGCCCAACACCGATCTGAAATCAGAGTGGAACAACACTGACTTGTATCCATTGATTAGTATAAAAATGGCATTTCTCTTTCTGAAGTTGTACGCATTCTCGACAAAAGGCAAGGTAAAAAAAAAAGATTCGATATATTGCGACATGTCCCTATTTCGTTTTCCCTTTCGACCATTTATGATTCCATTCCATCAAAAACAAGGAAACTATATTCCCAGGGCAGATCCGTTTTAGACAGAAGAATTCCTTTTATAAAAATGTGTCAGTTTCACGGATTCCTTATCGACACATTAAGAACTATAAATAGAAATGTACAATTTTTAAGCGAATTAGCAATTTCTTCTAGTGGAGATTTTCTGTTGCATTTATACGCATTTCCGAAATCTAGAAAGCTTAAAAAATAAATACACAGATATATATATACAGGCAAACACGTTTTTACTATATGAGCCAGAATTGTTTTGTCTTTTTTTAAAAATATGGCTGTATAGTCGTGCTATATATATATATATACATACATATATATTAAAGACATTTTTTTTTATGTTTAACGTTGTTATTTATAGATACAAGTATTTAAGCAAATGCTCTGTTTATGATAAACAGTATTAAATAACATTTACCGGCCTGAATGTCCGAGAAAATTTCATAGAAAATATTCGTTCTTTGACAGGATTCGAACCTGCATCCTATACGGAACCGTCATTTACGCTGACGTGCCTTACCTCTGGGCTACAAAGAACCTAGACAAGGTAGACAAGGTCGAATTTACTGCTTATAAACTTCAATCTTCCATGAATCTCGTACATTCATAACTGCTCTAGCGTATCAAATGTAAACAAATGACGTCATATATTAAGAAATGGACAAAGTCCGACAATTTATTTATTAAAGACTTTTTTTTTATGTTTAACGTTGTTATTTATAAGTTATAAATAAGTTATAAAGGCCGGTAAATGTTATTTAATACTTTTTATCATAAATTCTTTATATCCGTATAACTTGTATCTATAAATAACAACGTTAAACATTAAAAAAATGCCTTTAATAAATAAATTGTCGGATTTATATATTTTTAATATATATATATATATATATATATATATATATATATATATATATATATATATATATATATATATAAATTAATTTAAATTTTTCAAGTGTTGGGGGTCGTCTGGTGATTTTCCTGATCTCCAGTTGGAAATGAATTGGTCGGAGGTAAAAGGGAAGGCTGAGATCACAATTAATTTGTAGTCTCGGGGGAATCTTTTCCTTAAAGGGAGGCGGAAGTATGTGTTTCAAACATTTATTTATATGAGAAATTTACCGACTCTCTGTGCTTCCACTTCCGTATGACACTTTACTGGCGTTAGTGAATTCTTTTTCTCCTTCTTTAAGCTGAGGCAAGGATGTCAGAGTCTCTCGGGAGATCTGTTGCCTTCAGATGGATGAAGGCGGTCTAGGTATGCCTAGCATTGAGATTCGTCAATATATGCTTCGCATCGGGTTCCTGGATCGAATGTGTCGCGAACCGAATGAGGTGGGCGCCTTCTGGAAGAAAGACGCCCGTAAGAACTTCCCATCTGTGAGAAGCGTGCACTCGTCCGAGAAGGAGGCTCACCGTTTACCCAATGCCGAGTGCTCCTTATACCGTGAATGTCATCGTGCTATGAAACGACTCTTATGGGCGTTGGATGACCTCTCTAACGTCCAGGCGTTGTCTCGTAAGGCATTATATCAGGTGTTAGTTATTGAGGCCGTTCGTGATGACCTGATTGACGAGCTCGGTCTTACGAATCAGGAGGCTCGCTCGATATGGCGCCCGGGTTGAAATGTCTCAATAACAATGAGGCATCACTCACCTGGCTGGTGATGCGTGCGTGCGTCCCTCTGGGTCGCCAAGAAACTTTGCACACGCCTTTTTTCATTGCAGGGTGGTAGCGCCGTTGTGCAGGTATGTTGACTGCCTCATGGTTCGCATGCTGCCTGGAAAGTTCTTTGTCCTTGAGGCCGCTTCTGTTTGTAGCAATGTAAAAAGAAACCGTTGACGAGGGCTGATCACTGTGTTCTTAAAATATTAATAGGTGTTATGAGAGTCGTGATTTGGACGACACGTCAGAAGGGATTCTATGAAAGAGAGAGGTTCACCTCTTCCCAACTGATCTTATACTTTAAGCATCAGCTTAAGGTTAAGATTAGGACGGAAAGACAGCGACTCTTCATCAAAATGGATCTTGCGCGAAAGGAGCCTGCAGTGGTACTTTGATGCCGGTTAGGCATCAGAATATTGCTTTACCTGGATTGAACACGGGCAACCCACTCCAAAATTAGGTTAGCTTAAGTTTAGTCTTTGAGTCTTTAGTTTCCTTTTTTATTAAACTTGGTAGGGTAGGTATGCTCATTGGCCTCTTTTATTTCTGTCCCTATTTTTCTTTTAGTTTAATTCCCAATCCCCTCCCTCGTTATGTGGTCAGTGACGTCAGTTCCCTGGTAAATGCGTGGCGTTTTTCGTTTCGTGTGTGAATTTTCTTATCGGTTGTTGTCTGAATGAGTGCATATCTGTGTGAGTGCTTGGGATGAATGAATGTTTTTAATTTCTTATAGTCCCCCATTAATTTCCTCTAGTTAACTGATGTTTCTGCCACATTTAGTGATTGTGGGGTGTTTTATTACTAACATGATTTTGTTTAGTTTCTTGTAAATAGTTATTAGTTCATACTGTAAATACTCTTTTGGGCTAGTTTTTAAAATTGTTGTTTTATCCCCCCCCCAGACGATATATTGTACATATGGGAAGTAGTTAGTATTTTTCATGAAGACATTGAGGTATTATGGTGGGTGTGGTGAGGAAGATAAGTATGGATGTGTTGTTTTGGTGCAAGAAATACTGTTAGTATGATTGTTTGTGGCTAGCAAAGTTTAGAAGTTAAGACAGAAGACCGACCGCTTCCCACTTCCTCATTTCGGCCATGTGACACATTTTCTGTTATATTACGGAAATAAATATCACAAGTGTTGGAGGCCACTCGTCGTACAGTCCATGTGTGTGTATAGAAGCGGAAGACAAGTTCAAAATTGCAGCAATCGGGGAAATATTCTGTTCGGACTCGTCTCCTCAGTTCAGCGGCTCGTTGAAATAAGATATTTGTATTTGGGTGCTTTGCCACTATGCAACTTGCAGGGATTGCCTCGCCCGGACCAGCAAATGTAGTTCGTCCAAGCATTGGACTGTACGACGAGTGGACCTCCAACACTTGTAAAGAATGAACCTAACTGTGTGTGTGTGTGTGTGTGTGTATATATATATATATATATATATATATATATATATATATATATATATATATTCACAAACAATTATTCTACATGGATTCTGATATTGTTACGATCGGTACTTTTCTCTTTGTTTCAATTGAGCTAAATTCATTCTTGCTTTTTCTATTTCCCTTCACAACCCCAATTCTAGCCAACAGATACGGAAGTTTCCCTACAATTTTAAAGCTCATTAAGCTCACGATAGTTTTCATTATTAATTTTGACTCGTATTTATTTTCGAATTCGACAAAACCAATCAAATATTTCAAATGGCAGTAAATGCTTCTTAAAATTAATAATAGTTGTTGGCAAGTTATATGTTAAATAAAAAAAGAACTGGGATTAAATGCAAGTCAATTTTGGAATGATTGAAAATGCTTCATCAAATAAAACATAATACTGAAGATGAAAATAAATCGTTATCAAAATTAATTACTTGACTTTTTTATTTAGTTATAATTTATTTTATTTTTTTAAAACTTCGGTTTTCAGTTAATTCACTAATGTTCATAAATCATTGCCATTTTAATTATGACATTGAATTACTGATCTGCACAGAGATAATTAGATAGCATTAATACAAAGAAGATTAAACTATGATAGCAACACCAAAATGAAAATAGGATAAAATAAAATAATAAATTAACACCAATTTTTATTGAATATGTAACATCATAATAATAATCATGTAATAATAAAAATAATAATAATAATAATATTCATTGAATTTATATTATAATCGAATGAAGATTTTGGTTTAATGTTTCGGTTTATTTAAATGAAATAAAATTAAGCGCAATTAAAATTAGACACATGTAGATTTTATTTGGTATATTCGGCATGTTTACCTAATGACTGTTTAATCTCGCACTTTTGGGTTTTATAGTTTAAGCTGTTTAGTTTTTCGTTGAATCTTTCACTGTTTCTCCTTCATTTATTTATCATTTGACAGTTTTTTTTATCTTCAATTTATGTTTTGGCTTAGAGTCACGACGACATATTTCTGGCTATGACCCACTGAAGATAACTTAACTTTTATCTACTCCATTTTTCTTCACCCTCCCATTTATCTACCCAGCGTGACTCAACGGTGTATAGGATTTGTGAATAATATCTTTCAAAAGTTTATCAGACTATTGACAAACAGGAGTATTTCGTTAGAATCAAATAAAAAAAAAGTACTGAACTATCCTGTAACAACGGTCCTCCTATAAACCAATGAGTACTGAACAATCACATCACAGATGAAGAAGAGACTTGAGGCAGTGGAAACGTGTTTCTATAGAAATATGAAGAGAATAAAATGGACAGAACAACGAAGTTTTAGAGAAAATGGAATCCAAAACTGTACTCAAACTTAGAATGATAAAGGGACAATTGAAATTTCTAAAACACAATGAGAAAAGATGGTTTGGAACATTTAATGATGATAGAGGAAAACAGTGAATAAACTACTTAATTGGCTAGTGTAAATGGTTGGCAGAAAAGGGTTTAAGAGAGATAGGGAAAGAGATACTGCTAAAGTCTACAAACAACAGGAAGTTGTAGAGAGCCAGGATCGATCGTGTCAGGAAGGGACACGGTAATGTTGTTCCGTGTTATCTTATATACTTAATAAAACTCCATCTCTATTATTATAATTGCGCCAAGTATTTATTTTCCTGAGCTATAAAGAGAAATCGAATAATAAATATTTCAGTA